TATCCTTAACTGTTAGTGGAATGTATGGATATGGATATGTATCATACTGATACATATTAATATGGATATCATCTGTATGGATACATAGCTCTTGATAAGATTAGGTAGTGTCTATCCATAACCGTTGATATTTCTCTTTAACGGTTACTGGTCGTATATTTATACGGAATATTGTATATTTTTTATTAATCAATTTAATAGAGTTCTCTGCAGTATTCTGAATATTCTAACATGCCTTACGTCTACTTCTACTATACAAGGAAAGCGCTTATATAAACCTCACCCAATTTTTTTTTACCACCAGTATCATGATACTAAGAAAAAGCCAAATTCTAAAGTTTTCTTATGGACCTTTCGCTTATATAAACCTCACCCAATTTTTTTTGACCACCAGTATCATGATCCTAAGAAAAAGCCAGATTCTAAAGTTTGCTTATGGACCTTTCTTGAACGGTTCACTTTAACTCTTAAGACAATTTGTACTACTTTTAAGGCTTAAAAATAGAAGTTTTTCAGATTCGTGGTCATGGTGGTCGATATTATTGACTTGTTGAGATTTAGATTCAAAAAATCCATATCTTGGATGGAAGGGGCCCAAATTTAACCTCTCCTAATTAACAGCCTCAATTTAATTGTAATCACTACATTCTGCTCCCTAGCTAGTTTTCAATAACAAGAATAAATAGTCATTCAGGAAAGGAGTTGGATCGCGATGGTAACACCCCCATACCTAGTTACCACGTTGTGGTTTTAGCAAGCTAACTCCCTAATCTAATTTCCAATCCTGCTGACACCACCTGCTGACACCTTCAGAAAAGCTAACCCCCTAATCTAGTTTCCAATCTTGTTGATACCACCCACTGACACTTTCAGAAAAGCTAACTCCCTAATTTATATAAAAAAATGGGTAGGGGATTGTCCTTTCCCCTTAATTACCCAAAAAAAAAAAAAATTCATTTTGCCTCAAAATACATTCATAGGAGTGCATCGTGCTCCCATATTTCAATAATTTATTGGGAGGATTGAGGAGCCTACCTATAGGTGAAAATTCGAGGAGTAACTGCAGTTCAAAAAACTCATAAAAAGAAATGGCATCTGATCAGTAATAGTTGTTGCATCTCTCTTTCTCCCCCTCTCTCTCTCTTTCTGGGCGGAGTTATTTGGCCTCCCCTTATGGACAAGGCAAGTTTAGATGGCAGTGTGGTTAGCATGCGTCCCATCACATTAGGGATTTGATTCCCCCCAACACACACCCTCATTTTTTAAACCCAAGACCTCAGGACGTACCATCCCAATGTAGTGCTGCCTAACATGTATTATATGTATTATATAGTTTGTTTTTAATTTTTTTTATTTTTTAACTAGGGTTGAACTTGAATGAGTTACTTGGAACTTGCCTGAGCAACTCACCTAGGCCAAGGCTAAAGTACTTTGGCCGAGTCAACTTTCTTTACACTGCATGTATAGAATGTGACTTACATGCAATAGGATATCTAAACTTGAAACTTTTGGGTATATTATAAGAAGGTATGAGACTGTTTACTTTTTATTCGAGAGGTTATAATCAACCCCTACCGGTCTGATGTAAAATTGGGTGGCTGGGAATCTTCTATTGACATGCTCAAAATTCAAAAATTTGTTCTCAGACTTTGTGACGAATTTTTATCTGTTGAATTTCATATGTGATAACTTCTAATTCATTGTGAGAAATAGGTTAGAAATAGTAAGACATGATCTTGAAGGCCTATGGAAGGAAGGTCTTAAATAAAGAAGCATGGTGTCAATTGTATGAAATGGGTTGGATGGGCAGTAATAGAGGATTAGTTGTATGGAAAGGCTATTAAATTAAGGTGAAAAGGGAGTTGTACTATTTTGTAATATAGTATCCAAAGTGGGGGATGGCACTTGCATCAGGTTCTCTTCTGTAACTGGTATTGTGCAAGTACCTTGGGTTTTACCATCCCACCTCTTCTTATTAGAATGGCCCTGCGACTTGGTAGTACACTGCATTAGCAAAATGATGTGCTTACCCTTAGTTGTTCAGAATGTGGAACATATTTTTCATACTAAAATTTCTTAAGCTTAGAATTAGAAAAAAACACGTGCACATACACACACGATTTTAGGTGAGAGGGGGGTGGGGTGGTGTTGGTGCCGACGTACACCTCAATGGGCCACGTTCTCCATTGTTATTTCGCATAGGAGGTCTGAACCACTGCGCTTCAGTCCTTCAGCTTTTTGGACTAAGCGTGGGTGACCCTTTGCCTAAATAGCTACTTTGTTCAACCCTATGCCAGAGCTACATGGACACCGACACAAGTGTATGCAGCAAACATGTACTAAAGGTGTCAAGTTTGTGAGCCAGAAACTGTATATAGCTCAACACATCCATATGATTACATTATTAAAATAAAATTTTATACTCTATGACAGAAAAAAACATATTTTTACCACATCTAATTAATATGGTCATATTCGTTGCTGTTTATAAACATCTTGGTTTAGCAGCAGATCCATTTTAACTTCTTCAAAAGCAACCAAGTTCGAATCTCCCCATCACCGTGTGCTTATTGTGGGAATAGATGCATTACTGCTCACGCATGTAGTATTTTGACGGAATGAAACAATCTTTAGAGCAGCCAGAGTAGAGAAGTGGACTCCTAAGGGTAGGAGACCTGGTCCTGATATAGGCACTTTCGAGAAATTGGAAGGAATGAATGATGGTTGTTCAAAAGGTAACTAAACCACCCCAAGGGGGTGGGGGCTTGTTTTAAGGGATTTTGCAGGGCACATTTTATTTTCTTGGGCCCTTCAGAGTTCTGTGATTCATCTTTCAGTGAGGCTTAACCCTTGCTTGAGGGGCGACGACTCTGTCGCCTAGGGGACCCCTAGATCAGTAGCCTCAGTGTTAGATGGTGACAGAAAGAAAGTGCACCATCTTTGCTCTCTTTTTCTCCAACATGTATGGGAGAAGAAATTTGTTAGAATACACTCATCAATTATTTAATATTTTTTCCATTTTCAACTATTAAAGCTCTTTGATGGTGTTTTTGAAATAAAATAAAAATTGGTAATATATTAAATAGTTCATCTATTAGTGCATTTTGATAAAAATTTCCCTTAACAGAGGTTGCTTATATAGTAGCCAATGAAGGGGTATGTTACTTTATGGAATGTCCATTCAGATATCTACTTGAGACTGCACTGTTTTGCAATTCCTTATAAATTTGGGAAATTTATCAAGATACTCATGAAGTATCTTGATATTTTACCCATGTAGTATACTTCAATACCCATGTAGTATACTTCAATACCCATCAAGAGACATGATCATGAGTTGGAATAGTTGCAAGAGTGTAAAAGGCTAAATAGTCCCATCTCCCATGGGTATTTTGATAAATTTTCTTATAAATTATAGCATTTTTTTTGTTCAACGATCAAAAGAACAAAGAAATCTTTTGGATTTGAGATATGTTTTTTCATGTATAAAGCATGAGTTGGAGACGTTTTATATACTGTTATGGAATAGACTGTGGAGACAGCCTTCTTAGGAAGGACGTTTTATATACTGTTTATGGATAGACCGCAGAGACAGCCTTCTTAGGAAGAACAGGCCCACCCTGTAGCTCTTTATCTATGATTTTAAACACGTAGACCTCAGTGACAAGTATTGCTAACATTTTGAATTTCTCTTGATTTTTTCATGAGAAAATCAGGAGCCGATAAAATCCCCAATATTATCGCAACGGTAACATGGCATCCCCAATATTACCATGATAATAATCTTAAGGGAAAGTATATAATGAAACCATTTACCTTTGATACAAAATGGTCACATTAATCTTGACCATTGGATGTGAAATTGGGTGACTACAATTATTCCATTGACCAAACTCAAACTTCAAAAAAAAAAATTTCTAACTTTGTAACACATCCATGCTATCAAATTTCACATCAAATGATTGTGAAGAAGTGCAACCACCTTGTATCAAAGATAAATGATCTCATTGTATACAATCCCTAATCTTAAATGACATAATAAATAGCATTGTGAAGGCCAAATTTACCAAAATAGTAACAAAATCCTATCATTTTAAAATTTTGAAATTTAAATTTTTAAAACCTTAATTATGTCTAGGATTTAAAATCTAAAAAGTAACTGTTGTTAACTAAGAAATAGCCTTGTAAATTGCCATCTAAATTTAAGTTTTGAAAGTGATTAAACTTACTTAAATTTTCATTAAAATATCTAACCAAGGTCAAATTTTAAACACGACTAAATGAAAGGTTATGGAGGGGAATTTATATGTATTCCATACCAAAGAATATAAATGTTTTCATGCATTAAATTTCCAATAAAGTACCGATAAATACCAACAAGAAAGGCCCACCAATAATATCCCAATAAAATTTATCGACAATAATATCACGATGGCAATGATTGTCACAAAAACGTAAACTAGGGGTGGGAACAGGCCGGACCAGCCCTGGATCCAGCCCCAGCCTTCGTATCTACAGGGCGGTCAGAGCTCAGCCCTACCCTGAAAGGGCCGAAGAGGCCCTGGCCCCTGCCAGCCCTGTTGGGGACCTAAGGCCAGCTCAGCCCGGCCATGTTGCGGACTTGGCCCACTCTCGGCCCCGCCTGGTTCCAAACCTGTGGTGGCCCAACCTTCGGCACACATTTTGGCTAGGGCTCTAGTTTTTTAGGCCCAAGCTACCCGACCCATTGCGAGCCTTAATGTGGAAATTGCTTTTTCATCCTTCTGTCGACATACATGGTTCAGTATTTTCCAATTTAGGAGGCTTCCTTTGTAAAGTCTCAAATACCATTCCTTACTTTACTGGAGATTTACAAAATGCCCATCATAGCATACAGTACACAAAAACAACATGAAAATAAAAATGCCACAAGTTTTATGCGAAGTTTCTCTGTCTCTCTGTCTCTCTCTCTCTCTCTCTCTCTCTCCATTGTGTTATATTTCTCAACTTTATTTTCATGCTTTTGCACCATTTTAAACATCTTTAATATACACTTTATCGTAGTTGTAATAAACAATTTCCATCTTGTGTTTCAATTAATACAACAATAAATCACACAAATACAGACGGCATGAGGGGGACTCAACTTCCATTGAGATCATTACCTCCAGGTTTTTGTGCAGAAAACATGATAAATGATTGTTGTATTTTGCTTGTATAATTCATAAAACCGCACGATTTACATAGATCCTCAATTTCCTTCTCTGTGAGATAGCTGTATGTGTTTGCGAGTGGTTGAACAGCCTGTTTGTAATCACAAAAACCAGTAGCCATGCACGTAACCAATCTAAAATGCATAAAAGCTAAACCAATAGTACATACCACCACCACTCAATGGATATAGAGAGCTATCCATTGGAATAATGACTCAAGGGCATCTAATGAGATGAAGGCTGGAGAGGGAAAAGCACCCACCAGAACAAGATGCAACTCAGATGCTCTCTCTCTCTCCATATTACTAATTACCATGCAAATGAGGGTTCTCCACGGTCCATTGGACAATAATAAATTTTTGGAAAATTTATCAAAATACACCCCACTTTTCAACTATCTAACATTTCTACTACTATTTCAAGTCAATCATGTGTATTTTGATGAACATTCTGAAATTAAATCAGAACACATGGGTAAAATGTTAAATAGTTAATATCTTAGATGTATCTTGACAAATTACCCCAAATTTTATCATGACAAATTCTTTTGCTTTATCCGAAGCCAAAATTCTCTCGCTTTATCTGAAGAAAACAAATGAACGAGCATAAATAACAACTGAATACCTGTCGTAAAGGCCGCAATACATCAGAAGGTAAATAGTCACTGAAGACCGATGACAAAAAGGTGGTTGCAACAAAGACACCACCAGGACGCAAGATACGACAGATTTCAGCTACCTATAACACACATCACCATTAGTAAAATGAGAACCAGAAAAAGAAACTATATCACTGTTATTGCATGACCGTACTGCACTAGCTATGTAAAAACAGTAATGAAGTCACAGGTGATTGTTAGTGTCAATCACGCAAAATACATTATAAATGCAAGAGATCACAACCACCATTTAAAAGATGGAACAAACAGGTCCTAAGATTATAGCCTGCTAATATTTATTAACATGCTACATTACATTTTTAGGATTTGCAAGTTCATGGAATATAAAGGAGTCCAAAAAGAAAGGAAAACTTACTGCATTTGAAGGTGATGGCCAACAGTGCAGGGCAGCACCAGCATGAACTGCATCAACAGAACACGATGGAAAGGGAAGTCTTGAAACGTCTGCTCTCACAAGAGCCAGGTTCCTATACTTTTCATTGCCATGCTTTAGTGCCTACTCTGACACATGCGCTCAACCGCACGCACACACATATACACACACACACAGATGTTCTTCATCTGATGTTGAACTATTTGAACTTTTCAAGAGAAGTAGCCTGATAATGTTAAAAAGTTTTAATATCAAATTCAAGACGCCTGGAAACTTACGCATTTAGAAGTGTGTCATCATTTTTTATAAAATCATAGCACTGCCGTAGCATATTCTCTGAGAAATCCAATGCAATAACTCCAGAGTAGGATCCGGAATCAGCAAATTTTCTTGAAAATAACCCACTTCCACAGCTGACATCTACAAGAAGCCCACCTGCTGCAGGTTCAAAGAATTCTTGTGCCATCTTGAACTGCATGGCTTTGAGAAAATATCATAAGATATATAACAAAAACGAAGTCACTCTAAACCGCAAACAATTAGGAGATATTTTGGAATTCAAGAATATGTTTTCTTGAACTTTGTTATCTTGAAACATGATATCTCCATATTTAAACAAGGCTTTTCCTCATAGATCAAATAAGGCATAAAAGTGATAATTGAAATAATATATGACCAGCTATGAATATACTATGAATCAATTCTAATATAGCTGACCACAGAATGGAAAATTACCTCTTCATCAGGACCAGGAAACCCACTTCCACTGAAAGTCTGGCGCCACCCTCTCTCATACAAGAAAGACACAAGAGGGCTCCTGTAATGTGGAAGGATAGAACAAAGAACTAAAAATAAAATGCATTTCACAGCACTCTCATTCCAAAATAACAGTGTTTTAATGGATTTGCACAGAGAATATGAAGGCTGCATCCAAGAGAAATTACTTTACATAAATGCTCTAACAAATTTCTTTTTTCCTGTTTTTTTTTTTTTTACAAGTATGCTCCATGGTAGTTGTTAAGGAGGTAACGTTCTGTTAAAGGCAATAAGCAAGAAGAAATAGCAACTCGCAAAAGAGAAACCACAATGATTGAAACAGAAAAGTGAGACTCAAAAGAGAATTTACAAGCTACTGGATAGGAATGTCCTCAAAACTCAGAGGATTTCCAATTATTTACACATCCAAGTTGTCTATGTATGAGAGATGAACTTTGAAAAGGACCATATTATTGAACAAGCATATCTGATTTATACATTGTTCCCAAATTTGCCAATATCAGTAAAATAGCATGGAAGAGTAATGATCTCTGTCATTAAAAATAAGTGAAGTAAGAATTTAGGCGATGTGAGCAGTTAGCACCTTCCATACACAATTACTAGAAGACAACACAGAGGACCTCTCGCCTAAAAAACATCAGCAAGAGAAAAAAGACATTCATCTCAACAAAAATACAATAGCTCAAGGGTTTTCTTAGAAGACATGGTTCAACGAGGATCAAAACCATTTACGAAGTTAATCTTCTATTTACCCAGAAGTATTTCAACTTTAAGAGAACTGTGATTTGGTGTTTGGCATTGAACTATTTCTTCCTGCTGACATTATTGGAGCATTGATCAGATTTTTGAAGACTACAGTAACTGTGCGAAAGACAGATTTGCAAGGATGTGAGCCTATTTAATACTCAAAGATTATATATTCCATGAGGTTCGGATGAGGAATGGTTGGTTAAGGAGTTGAGTTGAATAAGAAACCGTGATTGGACATGAAGACAACTGTGTTATAGTTGCTTGTAACAAACTGGTTCCTCTACTACTAAACAGCCTACTGAGGAAGGAGAGCGAATGGCTAAAGGATCCCTTATGTACTTACAAGATCTAGGGTAATTGGCTAAAGTACCACTTATGTATATTTTACATGAATAAAGAATACAAGACAAAAAATAAACCTTGCACATATCATCTCTAACAATCCCCTCAAGATGAGATCCAAGTTCTATGCATTGAATACTTGGTAAATAGCTTATCTCCTTATTTAACACAAATTACCCAAATAACGTGATAATCAACTGCAATGTGGCTGGTAAGAGCTGGATTTGTCACCATAGATCACAGTATAGTTTCAAGCTAAAGCATAAATGGTACAGTTGACTTAGAGGAAACCACACTAGTAAGCCATCCATAATTGGTCAATCTTCCATTAAACTTACTAGGCAGCCTTCAACTGGAAGGGTTGTTTATGAAATTTTTAGTCTCTTAGCCAAGCCAACAGACACCCTACCTACGCATCTAATCTGCAGTGGGCCACTCAGTGTCAACTCCTAAAGTAGCTATTGGCTTTCCAATAGCCAAAAAATGGCAGCTCCATTGTTGAACTAATAATCCCCAATGAATACAATCCTTAGAGTTTATTTTTAACATATAAATATGCTCAGCTACAGTCATAACATGCAGCAAGCAAACCAGCTCCAGATAGCAGATTAAATACCAACAAAAAAATTTTGGGTTATGTAAACCCAACATCAGCATAATGTAATCATCAAACCAATACACACCAAAATTCCGGAGTATATAATCTTTCATGGACAAATCATGTTCAACTCACTAATAGAGAATTAAGAAACACATGAAATCAGTGTTTTAAAAACCGGTTATTTGGCACAAGAAAGGGCAACCCAGATCGGGAAGCAGTGGGGACTAGGGCTGAGAATTTACTAGGTTTGCGTACAAAACACGAAATTTCAGACCCTATCCAGATCCAAATATGGATCCAAGATTTGGATCAAATGGGTCAGATCCAAATCCAAATAATAATTCGCATCGAATCCGGGTATAGGTAGATCCCATCCGGATCCAACCCAATTATTAAAATATTATATATTATTTTATGCTATATATATAGCCGACCCCAATTAATTGGGAAAAGGCTTCGATGATGATGATTTTATGCTATACATATATGTTATAAACTATTTTTTTGTTATATATTATTTTATATATAAAATTAATATATAAAATAATTTTTTTAGATCCGATCAGGTCTGGAACCCATGTATACTCTTTGGATCTAGATCCGGATCTGAATATTTTGGATCTGATCAAATCCAGATCCCCTGCATACTTTTCAGATCCAAATCCGAATCCCGGTGGATCCGGACCCGATCCAACCAATTCTCAACCGTAGTGGGGATTGACCCACTTCCTAGCCAAAACATGAATTTGGTTAGTGTTAGAAAAGTCGGTCGGCTAGAACCGGTACCGACCGATTAGATTGGAATCGGTAGGATTTCGACTCCGATTAAGGCCGGTTTTGAGATTCTGATAGGTGTACTTAACACCCCAACAAAATTCTGGACCAAACCGGCTGAAATATACACGCACTGGCCGGATTTATAACTAACGACCAGGTTTTTTATCCAACTGGACCGGTTTTCTTAAAAATCGCTTAAATAACAAAATAACGGTGAAATAACACCCATTATTTGTAGCAGTGGGCATTATATAATGCAGAACTAGAGTGTTTTTGTTTGATTCCTTTTTTATTGGAGTTTTCCTACTTTTTCAGGCTTTTTCAGATAATAATTGACTGAAATTATTGATCGTCTTCTATAAACAACCAATTTGATAACAAAAACAAATCGAAAATCATACTTTCTTGGCCATTTTTTTGTGTTCATAGTTTCGAAAAAAATCTGCCAAACTACATATTGTGGCGTCATTTTTTATTTTTTCTCAATCAAAATGGGGGGATTTTGTAGATGACAAAGATATTCAGACGATTGAACTCCTAATTTCATCAAAATCAGAGATTTGGGGCTCAATTTTTATACATTAGGGCCTCATCTGAGTTGGAAAAAAACAGCGTAAGCTCCAACCCAAATTAATAGTTATTTTTTTGAATTTTTGAAGCATTGGGTTTTTGATATTTCAGACTGAAATTTTCAGTCTTATGAAACAATGTTTTTTTTTTTTTTCTTATTTTTTTAATTGCTATTCTAACTCATTTTTATCATTTTAGGGTTTAATTGGTAGTTGCAGTGAGAATAGTGGATTTAACAGGGCATTTTTTTTTGGTCATTTTTGGTTGGTTTTAGGGGTTATATTTAGAGACGGATCTAGTAGTTTGAAATCAGGGTGTGAGCTTCTTTACTTCCGGGCTTTGTGGATTTGGAATTCACAATTGTTGGGATTAGGGTTTAGGTTTGTTATGTTTTCTGGTTTTGAGCTCTTCCATGTATTTGTTTTATTACAGCTTTTTTCATATGAATTGAATTTCTTTTTATTTTTATTGCTTTGATTACTATGAAATTGGATATCTGATGTTTCTTTCTTTGTCTTGGCTGGCTCAGTGAAATTGGATTTATGATTTAGTTGATGCATGTTAATGAAATTTTATTTATGGTTCTTTTCATGTGGGTTCGAACATAAGTTCCAAAATTTAATCCATTTCTTTTGCTGCTTTCTTAGGAAGATATTTTGGTTTTTAATTTATCAGGACAAGGTAACCATACAGTCTTTCTATATGAACTTGGGCTTGCTTTTTCAATTCATTCTCATCACTCTCTCTATATACTTATCTTCCTCTCTCTCTTCTTTCTTTTTATGGTTTTTGTTTTTGTTTATTGGATTCACTTTTGATATAAGTTCTTTATAAATTCTTAAAACCTATTGAACTCTTTAAAACGATATGTTTTAATTAGGATTCTTTACTCTTTTGTATCGATGAGTCTCTGAAAACTGTGTTCAAGAACGATGCCTATCTAAAAAGAATGGAAATGCTGTCCATATTTTGATTGTGGGTTTGAATGAGTTTTTATGACAGATTGGAAATGCTGTCCATATCTTCTTTAAGGTAGAGAAAATACTGAACATGAAAGTTGTTTAAGAAAGAGAAAATACTAATTTATATAAAAAGTTGTTTCAAACTTTTTTTGTAAGATAAATATATGTAATAAGATAGTATACACTTAAATCTTTTTTCTTTTTCTTTTTTTTTTTTTTTTTTTTTGTTGGGGAGGAGGGGGGGGGGGTTTGGCTCATTTAAAAAAAAATCTATCGGACGAAACCGGTCCCGCTAACCGCTCGGTTAGCGCGGTTCTGATTCCAACCACTCCCAGCCCCATGTCCAGTTTACCATTCCGGTTCGATTTTGTGAACACTGCTCGCATGTGGTTCTGTCATAGAACTGGGTGAGTCTATCAAGGAACTGGACATTCCGGATCATCCAAAATCGCATGGTTCTCACATCTTTTATTATTTTTTAACTTTTCAATTTTGAATTTAAATTTATTATTTAAATTATTTTGAGACCAATTCCCATTCCGGAGAAACAATCTTATCCGGCCTAGATAGGTGATCTGATCTGACCGATCCGGGTTTTTAAACACGAAGTGAAACTGATTATGACAAGCACCGATATTAAGGATAAAACTTCCAGTAAGAATCCAATCAATTCCTACTCCTAAAAAATTGAATGAGAACTTCTTTACAAGCCAAATATGGAAATACTGCTTACATATACTACAACACGAAATTGAAAACAAAAGTCGGTAGCAAATATGAATTTCATTTTTATTTTATTTTTTTGCTTAGTGAATTTCATATAGTTACCTCAAGCAAAGAGCCATAACAAAGGTTGAAATAAACATAGTGTAGCTTTGGATCAAGAAAAGCAGTAAGAGATAAGATATATGTAACCATTTGTTAGATGCAGAAACAAGAGGGTTGTCAAACCTAAACAATTCTGTCCGTGGAGGCTTGAACTCGTTGTAGTCTTTAGTGCCAGAAGTTACAGTAAGATCCAGAAACACATCCTTGCTTGAGTAAGATTTTCTACATGTTTGACACTTAAAACCAGACCTATAAACTGCCGGCCTGTGGAAGAAATATTCCAAGCCACAAGTTTAATCCTGATGGTCCTTTCCTAAATAAATGCAAAGACTAGTAGCAAAGAGAGAAACAGAATTTCATAAATAAATAATTCAAGTTGTGCATAGAATAAGAAAATGATGTGATTGCAAAACTCACAAGGTTAATCCTGATGGTCCCTTCCTAATTAAAGGTTCGTAACAGATTGGGCATGCAAATAAATTGTACTGCAAGCCATCAGTTTGTTTTATGCCTGATTCCTGGAAAAGGGAACTTCTATTTATTATCAGAACAAATAAATCTGAAAAAGGAATCAAGATCAAGAGAGAGAGAGAGAGAGAGAGAGAGAGAGAGAGAGAGAGAGAGAGAGAGAGAGAGACGTACGTACGTAACGTTAAAGTTAAAGTTTAAGTTAATTAAGTAAAGTAAGTAAGTAAGTAAGTAAGTAAGTAAGTAAGTAAGTACGTACGT